GCAGCTCAACCTGCCTGGATTGGACATGGAGTGCCATGCCCACCTTCTCCTCACCCAGATGGGCATCCAGAGCCTATATGGGCAGAGCCTGAGGGAGAGGAGGATTGGGGTACCTGTGTGCATTTGAGGAGGGGGATGGAGTTGGGCCACACTAGGAGAAGCCTCCAGAGGCTGGTGTTGGGCCCGGAACAAAAAATAGCCTCAGACCACTCATCTGGTAGACTGCACTCTGAGAAGACTTCCTAGGGTGGGGTCTGGGCTGAGACTTCTCTTAAAAGCAATATGACGTTTTCTGTCTTTCAAAAGGCAAATGGAAAGCCACTCATGTTGATGAACATTTCTCCTCTTCCACTTCTAGTGCCAGCTCCAGGGCTTGGTGTATCACCAGCTTCACAGCTAGAGCCAGCTACTGTGCCAGTTCCAGCATCAGCACCAGAACTAGAATCAGTCCAAAGCTAGAGCCAGCTCCAGTTCTAAAGTCAGATTCAGTACCACCAGCTTGAGTACATGCCAGGTTGAGTTGGAGCTAGCACCAGTTTTAAGCTAGAGCCAGCCTCAGAGCTAGAGCGAGCTCCAGCACCATCTCGAGCAATATCTATAGAGCTAGATCCAGCTCCAGTGCCAATTCTAGCTCCAGTGCCAGAGCTGGAGCCAATTCCAGAACTGTTTTAACCTATTGCTAAAGCAAAGAGAATAGTGTTTGCTTCTCGACGATATCTTCCGGGAAGGGGCTCGAAGGAATTCTCCGGAGTCAATACTTTGTGTATTGATATGCATTTGTCAAAATGGATTGACTAGTTCACTAATATCTGAGCACATCATTGCTGTAAAGTATATATTACAATAAAAATATAAAAAGAATACAGACTGTTTAATTTCCTTTCATGTTTATGAAGTAAAAAACAGTCAAGAATAATATGCAGTGACAAAAATAAGAATAAGATTTACCTTTGGAGGAAATAACTGGAAGGGGCAAGATGGAGGATTTTTTCTTTATCTGGCTGATTATTTCATGGGTGTTCTTGTTTGTGATAATTCATCAAACTGTGCTCTTAATGTATGCTAATTTTTCTCTATGTAGGGTATACTTCCATTAACAAATATTTATTTTTTGAAAAGCATCATTCGAATCTATCTCTGGCTTCCTCCAAATCCTGCCTCCCTGTCTCCTCTCAAGAGGAATTGAATAGCCTGAATTTTATGTTTATGATTCCATTAAATTTTTATAGTTTTATTTCTATGTGATTTATCTCTCTTTCTCTGTCTCTCTGTCTCTGTCTCTCTCTTTATATGGGTGTGTCTATACATATTTACATTTGTATGCATGTGTGTATGCATACGTTTCCACACATACATACATACACAAAAATACATACATATATGTCTTAAGTCTGCTTGTCCTGCCATAACAGAATACCACAGACTGGGTGGCTTAGACGACAGAAAGTAATTTTCCCACAGTTCTGGTGGCTAGAAGTTCAAGATCAAGGTTCTGGCAGATTTGGTTTCTGGTGAGAGACCTCTTCCTGGCTTGCAGATGGCCACCTTCTCACTATGTCCTCACATTGCCTTTTCTTGGTGTGTGTGCACAGAAAGAAAGCGCGAGTTCTCTGGTGTCTCCTCCTATGAGGACGCTAATCCTACTGGATCAGGGCCCATCCTTACGATCTCGTTTAACCTTAATTGTGTTCTTAGATGCCCCATCTCCAAATACAGCCACACTGGGGGTTAGGAGTTCAATATATTAATACTGGAGCGACACAAACTTAGGTCCATAAAAATGCATAAAGATATAAAATCTTTGTTTATTTCTGCATTTTGTCATATTTTTGGAGTCTTGCATTTTTTCTCTCAATGTTTCATTTCTATATCTGCTGACATGGCATATAATTGCTCTACTATATTCCCTATATAAAAATACCATAATTTAGTTGTTGTTGAACTTTTTTTTCATTTTTTCTGCTATTTTGAACAATGTTGCTGTGAACTTTCTTGTTTATATCTCCAGTTGTACATGTGCAAAGCTTCTTTAGGATGTATACCTGAGAGTAGAATTGCATGGTCCAAGACAATGCAAATTTTCAACTGGAAAATATAATGTCATATTGTTTCTCTAGTAGAAATGGATAAGACTTTGAACTAATACACATTATTGTCAAGAAAGAGCATCCTCTAACAAATTTTCTAATCTATTAATATAAAAATGGAACTTTCTTGAGGTTTTATTTGTGTTCCTTGATTATTATTGTTTGACCATCTTTTTATATGATTATTAGCCAATTTGAGTTTCTTTTCTCTGAAATAGCTATTAATCTCACTTTGCTTATTTATCACTTTTTTTGTGTATGCATATGTGAGTGTATTTTTGTTATTAAATTATAAGCTATTGAAGGGGGCAGGTTTTGAATAGGCTTTGGAAAGATGGTCAGGACTGGAATAGCAGAGGATAAACATGAAGTTCTTCTAGGAAATAGTATCTGGTACCTGGCGAAGTAGTAATGTCATTTCTTAATTCAACGAGACACTTTTTCTAATACTGTTTAATAAAATAAGAAATTCTGCAGAGTCATGGGTTTTATTTTTATCTCCATGCATATAAGAAAAGAGGGAGGTGCCAATGATGTTCTTCTGGTTTGAGAAGGAAGAATTGTCGACTCTTGACTTTTAGGAACACAGGTAGTTCAATTGTACATATTATAATTGAGCAACAGATTATCATCTATGATTGACAGTATCTAGAATCCATTTCTGAAACCTAAATACCTTACAAGACTCATCATTCAAATAGCAGTTCCAAGTATTGACTGATTTAACACTAAACAGAATGAATTAATAGCACATGAATATTCACACATCTTCATCCCCAGTAACAACACGACATTCATCTTCTACCTGGCTTTGAAGAAATGGAGCTGGAGATGTATGCAAGATTTTTTTTGTGTGCCTTTTGGTGAGGAAGGTTGGCCCTCAGCTAACATCTGTTGCCAATCTTCCTATTTTTTTTTTTCCCCAAAGCCCCAGTATATAGTTGTATATCCTAGCTGTAAGTCATTCTAGTTCTTCTATGTGGGATGCCACCACAGGGTATCTTAATGAGTGCTGTGTATGTCTGCACCCAGGATCCAAACCTGCAACCCTGGGCTGCTGAAGTGGAGCACCGGAAGTTAACCACTTGGCCAGGGGCAGCCCTGCAATAAATTTGAAATCAATTTTTCAAGGAGTTTAGTGGAAAGCATCTCTTGAATGGTTAATCTATGATATTGTGAAAAACTTGCACCAAGGGAATGCAGACTCCGTAGCCTTTGGGCAGGAGACCAAAATTTCTAGAAACTGTAGTCCATTTCCTAGGGCCCATTTGTGCCAATGGGATATAAAGTCCTTCAATCTTTTATTCAGAGAGTGAAAGTATTAAGAGTGTTTCTGGTGTTCTTGAAATAGCATGGGGCTCAGAAACAAGAGACTGTGGTTAACACACTCACATTCCCAGTTTGATTTCTTATGGACTCTGGTTCACATTTTTCCCCATGTCAACAGATGAGGGCAAAAAGCTTTGTGAATCACGAAGTTCCTAGGAGCTGCTTTGTGGTTATTTATCATTATTCTTCCAAGTATGAACTCTCCTGTTGCCTGCTATCAATGAATAGCTCTTCCCTCAAGAGAAAGGTAACCAAGCAATTATTTCCTGTTTGTCTGTAATTTGGAGCTGGAGGTGGAGAGTTGCCCTCCCTTCCCCAACCCATGCCAATCCTCTCCATGATTGGTAAAGTTGGAACCCATGCCCATTGCTTAGGAGTTATAAACAAGTGTGTGTACATATGTGTATCTTATTTGGTTTTGAATGGATAATTCTTCTCCCTGTTGCAATGCATGTTTGAGACCCTTAAAGACTCCACTCTCTTCATTGTATTCTGTGTCTTCTAGAGAGTAATGGAAGAACCTTTCCAGACCTGTAGCTGAGAGTATATATGCTCATCACTCAAGAGGCAATGTCAGAACAAGAGTAGAATTTATATTCAGTGGTGTGATTGCATGTGTTTATGTGTATTTGTGCGTGTGTGTGTGTGTCCAGTCTGTGCTACTGATCCATAACATGGCTCTACCACTCCTCACACCAGGGTATAACAGACTGCTCCATGTAGAATAATTTATCTCAAACTGGTCCGCTATCTAATTTTTGAAAGGATAGGGAAAAACATGTTTTCTCTTGCTTATTCCTTACCCCCTATTAAGTCTTGTTTGGTTTTTCCTCCCAAATTTTATCCCAAACTGTAATTATCTTCATCTCTGCTGCCATGATCCAGATGTAAGCAGGTACTATTTTGTATACAAACTACAGCAATGGCATCCGGTTAAACTTCTGCTGACACTCTTGAATTGTTATAATTTGCTCTCTACCCAGTAGAGACAGAAAAAAAATTCATTCACTCCTTTCCTAAAACCTTCTCATGGGTGTTCTACTAGTCTGAGAATAGAGTCAAAATTTTCCATTATAGAGGAAAAAATCTTACATAATCTGGTTCCTAGATAATTCTCCAACCCCATAAATTTCCCATGCTGACCATGCTCCTGGATGCCGTAGTCCTGTCCTCTGCAAACAACTGGAATGCCCATTTTTATAACCTTCACACAGCAGGCTTTTATTATTCAGGACTCATTGTAAAGAACTCATAAGAACAGGCTTCCTCATCACCTTAGACTCTTGTAATTTAACAATGTCTATCAAAATTGTGAATGTATGTTTCCTCCAATTCTATTTCTAGGAATTTATCCTATATATCTATCTGTGCAAAATAGTATATGAACAGTGTTATTAATGTATGTTAGATCAGGTTTTTAATGGGGTTTTAGCATATTAATGGGACAAAAAGAATGTGCTATTCAGGTTAAAATTCACATACTGACTAGTTCAAAACCGTGTTTCCATTATTTGATGGTCATAATGACTTCTCACTCTTGCACATTTCCATCTCTTTTTTTTATCTCCAGCAAAATAGAAGAACATGAGGAAGGATAATCAGAGCAGCGTGTCTCAATTCCTCCTCCTGGGGCTCCCCATCTGGATGAAGAATCAAGACATATACTACACTCTTTTCTTGGTTATGTACCTGACCACAGTGCTGGGGAACTTGCTTATCATCCTGCTCATTAGGGTAGACTCTCACCTCCACACTCCCATGTACTTCTTCCTCAGCCACTTGGCTTTCTCTGATGTCTCTTTCTCATCTGTCACTGTCCCAAAGATGCTCATGAATATGCAGACACAGAGTCAGTCCATCTCATATGCTGGCTGCATTTCCCAGGTGTATTGTGTTTTGCTGTTTGGGGGTCTTGACAGCTTCCTTCTCACATCAATGGCCTATGACAGGTATGTGGCCATCTGTCACCCCCTCCACTATATCACCATCATGAATCAGAACCTGTGTTTCCTGCTAGTAACTGTATCCTGGGTCCTATCCTGTACCAGTGCCCTTTTGCACACCCTCCTCCTGGTCAGTCTATCTTTCTGTGGAGAAAACACTCTCCCCCACTTCTTTTGTGACCTCTCCACCTTACTTAAGCTGTCCAGCTCAGATACCACAGTCAATGAATGGGTTATCCTCACTGAAGGATCAGTGGCCACTACGCTGCCATTCATATGTATCCTGGTCTCCTATGGCCACATTGGTAGCACCATTCTTAGAGTTCCCTCCACCAAGGGAATCTACAAAGCCTTCTCCACATGTGGCTCTCACCTCTCTGTGGTATCTCTGTACTATGGAGCAATTATTGGACTGTACTTTTTCCCCTCATCCAATAATTCCAATGACAAGGATGTCATTGTGTCTCTATTGTACACTCTGGTCAGTCCCATGCTAAATCCCTTTATCTACAGTCTGAGGAATCGAGATATGAAAGGAGTGCTGGTAAATATACTCAGTAGAGGAAAATTTTCACCACGATGAGCATTATTTTTCCTATTAATTAAATATAAGTCCTGCTTCATCCTGCACATGCAACATGAGTATTCTTTCCTTTCTGACTAGCTCCTTTTTAGTGAATCTTGATGTGGCATTTTTTCTTCACTCTCTGTTTTGTCTTGCACTTAGTTTTCTTCTCTTTTTAGTTTTTGTTCAATTTAAGGAGTCATAGGAAAAGTTTATTAAAAACATACCTACACAACTATCTTTTCCTGAATGTTTTTTTTTCTTTTTCACATGATATCCCTTGTCCTACAAGCATTTAAAATTTTTATGCAGTTACAGCTTTCAGGCTTCTTATTTTACTTTTTTTATAGTTTACAAACTTTATGTAGCAAAGCTTTTCTTTTCTCAAGATAACAAAAATATTCCTTCTGGCAGTTTCATAATTTTATTTTCGTGTCTAATTTGTTTTGTAATACACTTTAAATTTATTCTTGTGAATGACATTAATTATATATTTAATTGTATTTTTGTGTCTAATTTCTTATCGATTGTCCAAATTGTGTTTCAGGTATGTTACAGAGTTGTGGTAATGTGGTATGTCACTTTTTTTCCTCTTTATATTAAGTAGTCCTGGCCACAAACTGAAATGAGATGGCTTTCTGTACAAGACCAGGAAAATTGCCCAGGCAGGACTGGTACTGCCTGCAGGTGGTGAATGAACTCAAACTTGACTGTAGCCCTCTGTGTCCTAGGTTGGCCAATTGGGTGTGAAGCATGGTAGTGAGAGTAGAGATTTTAAAGGGGCTTTCCAAGTGATGATGTGAGTATGGGTGATCAGTCCAATTTGATAGGGGGTTCAACCTTTCAGAACCTGGGACCAAGAATGCATAGGCAGAATATCTGGAAATTTAGGCAACCTGAATTGAACTCAGGCAGGACTTCAGTGTAGTTTAATCCAAATGTATCTGAATTTTTAAAAGATATTTCCCTGCCCTAAGTACATAAATATAACGCCCTATGTTTCCATCTGAAATGGTAAAGTTTTGTCTTCAGTCCTGAGGAATTGCCTCTGCTCAAGGCAAATGTAGCTAACTTCATTGCTATAAGCTGATACCTGTCACAAATTATTATTTATTTGATTTTACTAATTGGTATAAAGGAGGGAATTAGTATTAAAAGAGGCTTTGTAAGTTTCCCAGTGCCACTAAACTAGCGATGTTTAGTAGAGGTGGTGCTCAAACTACCATGTGTGTGTGGTCAAATCCTGAGTCCTTGGAATAATTTGAATATTTTTCAAAATTGAGCAATATTTTTTAGCTATTTTACTAAAAATTTTATTTAAACTTTAAAAAAATATTGAAATAGCAAACAAAGGAGCATATGTAACATATATACAGTTTAAATATACATGTATATATAGTATGCTGCTTGTGTGTATATACATATATATGTATGTGTTTGCATGTATGTGACATCTAATTACACTTTAAAGAGTAATATTAAAAAAAATACTCATGTAACAGTCTCCAGGCTTAACTAGTAGAAAACTAACAATATTGTTCAGCCCCTTGTGTCTCCTCCTCAATTGTATCTTCCTCTTCTCTTGAAAATACCCAGAATCTTTAATATTTTCAAAATTTCTTTGCTTTTCTTTACAGTTTTAACAATTCTATTTTGATCCTTAAGTTTTGCCTGCTGTAGAACTGCATATAAATGGAATAATATGGCATTTATTCTTCTAGGTTCTGCTTTTGCTATCCAATACTGTCCTTGTGAAATTCATCCATGTTGCATAATATTCCACTGCTAGGCTGCTACAAACTTGTCTGTTCTATTTTCTATGGCTATTTTATTTGCTTTCAGCATTTTTCTACTACAAACAATGCTGCCACAAACCTTCCTGTACATTGTCTAGTGCATGTATGCAGGACATTCTGTGAGTTCTAGACCCAGAAGAAGAATTACGGGATTGTAGATATGTGTGTGTTCAACTTAACTATCGCTGCTAAGCTCTTCTCTAAAATAGATGTACCAAGAAGTCAAAGTGAAAAGTCTACACGTTGCATGATTTCAACAACATGACATTCTGGAGAAGGCAAACTATAGAGATAACAGAATGATCAGTGGTTACTGGGGGTTCAGCTTTGAGGGGGAGAAGGATAAGTAGGTAGAGCAAAGGGGATTTTTAACAAAGAGCAATGAAACTATTCTGTGTGATGCTGTAACAGTGGATACATGCCATCGTGTATTTGTCAAAAACTAAAAAAACCTGAGCAATATAAAGGAGTGAATTCTAATATCAACTATGTGCTTTAGTTAATAATATATCAATGTTAGTTTAATTGGAACAAATATACCACACAGAAGCAAGATGTTAATAATAGGGGAACTGGTTAGGGGTGAGGGAGAGGTATATGAACGCTTTCTGCTCAATTTTTCTGTAAACCTAAAACTGCTCTGAGAAATAAAATCTATTAAATTTTTGTTGCTGTTGCTGTTTTGGTGAGGAAGTTTTGGTGAGCTAACATCTATTGCCAACATTCCTCTTTTTGCTTGAAGAAGATTGTTGCTGAGCTAACGTCTGTGCCAATCTTCCTTTATTTTGTATGTGTGAGGCTGCCACAGCATGGCTTGTTGAGTGTTCTGTAGGTCTGCACCAGGGATCTGAACCCATGGACCCAAGACTGCTGAAGAAGAACTTGCAAACTTAATCACTGTACCACCAGGCCAGCCACTAAACAATCAATTTTTAAAAGTTTTACTAATTCAGAGAGATCTCATCAAGATGGCAGTGGAGGAAGCCTCTGAACTCACCTCCTCCCATGGACACAACCAGGTTACAACTATTTTTGGAAAAATTACCCTGGAGAGAAAATTTAAAACTAGATAAAAATAACCCACAACAAAGGATAGTCCTGAGTGAAGCAGAAGAGGCAGAAATTCCTCCTGGAGAGAAAAAAAGCCACCTTCATGAGTAGCGGAGCTCCACAGCTGGAGAGGCTGGAGTCACCCTAAGGTATGCAGCCCTCCCTGGAGAAGTGGGGACCTGAGTGGGGGCAGCTTACAATGGCAAGCATCCTTCAGACTCAGCACAACTGAGACGAGTGCCCTACTATCTGGCTTTGATGGCTATTAACTGCAATGGTGGCTACCCCCAGAAAAGCCATCAGACAAACCCCAAAAAAACCCAGCTCTTAAAGGGCCCATACACAAATTCACCAGCCTCAGAGGCAGCCTAAAATCACCAGAAAGAAGGCTGTACAGTCCTTTGGTGAAAGGAGTTTCAAGTGGTAGGCTCTGGGTGCATCTTGGTGAGAGGCGAGACCTCTCCAGAGACTGAGACATTGGTGGCGGCCATTGTTGTGACCTAGTATAGGCATGCCGACACAGAGACTGGCAGACACCATTGAAGTTCTTTCCCTGGCCTGTTAGCTCTTGGGTCTGACACATCCACTAGAGTGCAAATTTAATCCAGTCTAGCCACCTCAGGAAGCCCACCCTAGGGATCGGCCTCACTCGACAGCAAGCCTTCAGCCTATTTGTCACCCTGCATAGACTGGGTGCCTTGATCCTCTACAGGCAGTAAGTCCGCCTCTGTGGTGCAGGGCCTGTGTGAGGACCAGGTATGCTGTGGGGGGGGGGGTCATTGGTGGGAGGTGGGGGTCTCTGCAGTGGGGTAATGGGTTATGCTCCAGGGGGTCAGGAAATTGGCACAGGCCTGGACTGTGTTGACAAGGGTGTGTGGACCTGTGGGGGTGGGGCTTATCAGCAGCAGAAGACCAGGCTTTAAAAACAGCCATAAAGAGAATTGGCCTCACCTTCCAAAGCCTGAAACAATTGGGTGTTCCTGTGCCTAAGGCCCACCCCACTCAGCTGCAATCCTAAGAGAACTGACAACAGCCTTCCCGGCCTGAGGCCTACAGCAACTGTAAACCCCTGAAGCTAGCAACCAGCTACACAGGGTACCTATGCAATTAACAGGAAAACTGCAGCAGGAGTGTGCTCTTAGACCTTGTAGCCAATGGTGCTGAGGCTCCCCAAACCTGATTTATAAATAACTGGTCATGGGAAGGAAGGAGTAGACTCCTTGGGTACCTGCAGTAAGAGCAACACTGCCCCAGCAGAAAGACACAAGTAGTCCACACGGGGGTCACTCCTGGATCATTTGGACTGGTAATGAGATGGAAGCACACTGCCGACACTCAAAAGACACCTCTTACATAAGGCCACTTCTCCAAGATCAGGAGACATAGAGGACTCACCTAATACACAGATAAAAGCACAGAGAAAGAGGCTTAATGAGGGGACAAAGGAATACATTCCAAGCAAAGGAATGGGACAAAACCCAAGAAAAAGAACTAAATGAAACAGAAATAAGAAATCTACCTGACAAAGAGTTCACACAAAAACTCATAGGATGCTCACTGATATTGGGAGAAGACTGGGTGAATACAGTGAGAACAACAAAGAATTGGATAATATAAAAAAGAAGCAATCAGAAATGAAGAATACAATACTGGAAATGAAAAATTCACTAGAAGGACTCAATAGCAGAGTAGATGATACAGAAGAATGGATCAGTGGCCTGGAAGAAAGACTAGAGGAAATCACCCAAGATAAACAGATAAAAGAAACAAGAATTAAAGAGAATGAGAACAGTCTAAGGGAACTCTGGGACAATATCGAGCACACTAACATTCGTATTATAGGTGTCCCAGAAGGAGAAGAGAGAGAAAAAGGGACAGAGAATATATTGGAAGAAATAGTAGCTGAAAACTTTCCTAACCTAAGGAAGGAAACAGACGTCCAAGTACAGGAGACACAGCACCAAACAAGATGAACACCAAGAGGCCCACACCAAGAAACATTATAATTAAAACTTCCAAAATGAAAGATAAAGAGAGAATCCTAAAAGTGGTAAGAAAAAGGCAACAAGTGATGTACAAAGAAAAGCCAATAAAGCTATCAGCAGACTTCTCAGCTGAAACCCTACAGGCTAGAAGAAAATGGCATGACATATTTACAGTGCAGAAAGGAAAAAAACCTACGATGAAGAATTTTTCACCCAGCAAGGTTATCATTCAAAATGGAAGGAGAGATAAAGAGCTTCCCAGTCAAGCAAAAATTAAAGGAGTTTATCATCAAGAGACCAGTTCTACAGGAAATGCTGAAGGGACTTATTTAAGTGGGAAAGAGAAGAGCACAAATAAGGATAAGAAAATGATCAAACAAACAAACAAACAAACCCCAGGCAATATAATCACTGGTAAAGGCAAAAATACAGTAAAGGTAGCAGATCAACCACCTATAAAGATGATATATAGGTTAAAAGACAAAAATACTAGAATTACCTATTACAATGATAAGAGTGTAATGGATAGACACACACAAAACAACAGATTAGATATGATTTCAAAAACATAAAATGTGGGAGTAGGGGATTAAAAGATTAGAGCTTTCAGAAAAAGGTCAAGCTAAAGAGACTATCAACTTAATATAGATTGCTATATACATAGAATATTATATAGGAACTTCATGGTAATCACAAACCAGAAACTTATAATAAGTAAACAAATAAGTAAGAGGAAAGAAATCAAACATATTACTAAAGAAATCCATCAAACCACAAGGGAAGAGAGCAAGAGAAGAAGAAAAATACAGAGAAGAACTACTAAAACACCCAGAAAAAAAGTAACAAAATGGCAAGAAATGCATTTTTATCAATAGCTACTCTAAATGTCAATGGACAAAATGCTCCAATCAAAAGACATAGGGTGGCCGATTGGATAAGAAAACAAGACCCATATATGTGCTGCATACAAGAGACACACTTCAGACCTAAAAACACTAACAAACTGACAGTAAAAGGATGGAAAAAGATATTCCATGCAAATGGCAAAGAAAGAAAGCAGGGGTAGGAATACTTATATCAGACAAAATAGACTTTAAAACAAAAACTGTAAGAAGAGGCAAAGAAGGGAACCACATAATGATAAAGGGAACAAACCAACAAGAGGATATAGCACTTGTACATATCTATCCACCAACATAGGAGCATCTAAATATATAAGGCAATTATTAACAGACATGAAAGGAGAAATAGACAGTAAGACAACAATAGTAGGGGATTTTAACACCCCACTTACACTAATGGATAGGTCACCCACACAGAACATCAATAAGGAAATATTGGCCTTAAATGACACATTAGACCAGATGGACTTAGTAGATATATATATAGAACATTCCATCGAAAAACCGCAGAATACACATTCTTTTCAAATACACATGGAACATTCTCCAGGATTGATCACATATTAGGCCACAAAACAAGTCTCAATAAATTGAAGAAGACTGAAATAATACCAAGTATCTTTTCTGACCACAAAGGTATGAAACTAGAAATCAACTACAGGAAGGAAATTAGAGAAGCCACAAAAATGTGAAGATTAAACAAAATGCTAGTGAACAACGATTGGGTGAATGAAGAAATCAAAGGGGAAATCAAAAAATTCCTGGAAACCAATGAAAATGAAAATATGACGTGCCAAAATCTATGGGATACAGCAAAAGTGGTTCTAAGAGGGAAGTTCATAGCAATTCAGGCCTACCTCAACAAGCAAGGAAAATCCCAAGTAAACAACCTAACAGTGCGCCTAAAGGAACTGGAAAAAGAACAACAAACAAAGCCCAAAATCAGGAGAAGGAAGGAAATAATAAAAATCAGAGCAGAAATAAATGAAATAGAGACAAAAAATAGAAAAAATTAATGAAGCGAAGAGCTGACTTTTGGGAAAGAGAAAATTGACAAACCCTTAGCTAGACTCGCCAAGAAAAAAAGAGGGAAGGCTCAAATAAATAAAATCAGAGATGAAACAAGAGAAATTACAACAGACACCTGAGAAATACAAAGGATTATAAGAGAACACTATGAAAAGCTATACACCAATAAATTGGATAATCTAGAAGAACAGGATAACTTCTGAGAATCATACAAACTTCCCAAAACTTGGATCAAAAAGACGTATAGTATTTGAATAGACCCAATCACCACCAAGGAGATTGAAACAGTAACCAAAAAACTCCCAAAAAATGAAAGTCAAGGACCAGATGGCTTCCCTGGTGAATTCTACCAAACATTCAAAGAAGATTTAATACCCATACTTCTCAAACTGTTCCAAAAAAATGAAGAGGAGGGGAAGCTTCCTAACTCATTCTACAAAGCCAACTTTATCCTGATACCAAAATCAGACAAAGACAACACAAAAAAAGAAAATTACAGGCCAATATCACTGATGAGCATCGATGCAAAAATCCTTAACAAAATCCTAGCAAATTGAGTACAAAAATACATTAAAAAGATCATAGATCATGATCAAGTGGGTTTTATTCCAGGGATGCAGGGATAGTTCAACATCCAAAAATCTAACAACGTGATACACCACATTAACACAATAAAGAATAAAAATCATGTGATCATCTCAGTAGATGCAGAGAAAGCATTTGACAAGATACAGCATCCATTTATGATAAAAACTCTAAATAAAATGGGTATAGAAGGAAAATACTTCAACATAATAAAGGTCATATATGACAAACCCACAGCAAATATCATTCTCAATGGAGGAAAACAGAAAGCTATCCTTCTAAAAACAGGAAGCAGACTTAGATGCCCACTTTCCATCCACTTTCATTTAACATAGTATTGGAAGTCCTAGCCACAGCAATCAGGCAAGAAAAAGAAATAAAATGGATCCAAATTGGAAAAGCAGAAGTGAAACTGTCACTATTTGCAGAAGAAAACCCTGAAGAATTCATTATAAAACTTTTAGAAATAATAAATGAATACAGTCAAGTCGCAGGATACAAAATCAACATACAAAAATTTGTTGTGTTTCTATACACTAACAATGAAGTAGTATAAAGAGAAATGAAGAATACAATCCCATTTAAAATTGGAACAAACAGAATAAAATACCTAGGAACAAACTTAAAAGAGGTGAACGATCGGTATACCGAAATCTATAAAACATTGTTGAAAGAAATTGAAGACAAAAAGAAGTGGAAAGATATTCCATGCTCTTGTATTGGAAAAATTAACATACTTAAAATCTCCATACTCCCTAAAGCAATCTATAGATTCAATGCAATCTCTGTCAATGTTCCAACAACATTTTTCACAGAAATAGAACAAAGAATCCTAAAATTTATATGGAACAACAAAAGACCTCGAATATCCAAAGGAATCCTGAAGAAAAAGAAGTATCCCACTCCCTGATTTCAAAATATACTACAAAGCCGTAGTAACCAAAACAGCATGGTACTGGCACAAAAAGAGACACACAGATCAATGGAACAGAATTGAAAGCCCAGAAATAAACCCACACATCGATGGACAGCTAATTTTTGACAAGGGAGCCAAGAGTATACAATGGAGAAAGAAGAGTCTCTTCAATAAATAGTGGTGGGAAAACTGGACAGCCACATGAAAAAGAATAAAAGTAGACCATTATCTTACATCATGCACAAAAATCAACTCAAAATGGATTAAAGACTTGAATGAAAGCCTGAAACCATGAAACTTGTAGAAGAAAACATAGGCAGTATGCTCTTTGACATCAATCTTAGCAGTATAGTTTCAAGTACCATATCTGACTGGGCAAGGGAAATAAAAGAAAAAATAAACAAGTGTGACTACATCAAACTAAAAAGCTTCTGCACAACAAAGGAAACCCTAAGAAAACGAAAAGACAACGTAACAATTGGGAGAAGATATTTGCAACCATATATCAGGTAAGGGGTTAATATCCAAAATATACAAAGAACTCATACATCTCAACAACAAAAAAGACAACAACCCAATTGAAAAATGGGCAAAAGATCTGAATAGAGATTGCTCCAAAGAAGATATATGGATTGTCAACAGGCACATGAAAAGATGTTCAACATCTTTAGCTATAAGAGAAATGCAAATCAACACTACAATGGGATATCATCTCACTCCTGTCAGAATAGATATAATTAGCAAGACAGGAAACGACAAGAGTTGGAGAGGATGTGGCGAGAAGGGAAGCCTCACACACTGCTAGCGGGAGTGCAAACTGGTGCAGCCACTCTGGAAAACAGTATGGAGTTTCCTCAGAAAATTAAGAAAAGATCTACCATATGATCCAGCTATTCCACTGCTGGGTATTTATCCAAAGAACTTGAAAACACAAAGGCATAAAGGTACATGCACCCCTATGTTCATCACAGCCTCGTTCACAATAGCCAAGACTCGGAAGCAACCTTGGTGCCCATGAAGGGGCGAATGGATAAAGAAGACATGGTATAAATACACAATGCAATACTTCTCAGCCATAAGAAATCATGAAATCCGGCCATTTGTGACAACATGGATGGATCTTGAGGATATTATGCTAAGTGAAATAAGTCAGAGGGAGAAAGTCAAATACCGTATGATCTCACTCATAAGTAGAAGATGAAAACAATGACAAACAAACACATAGCAACAGAGATTAGATTGGTGGTTACCAGAAGGGAAGGGCAGAGGGAGGAGGGAAAAAGGGGTGATTAGGCACGCATGTGTGGTGATGGATTATAATTAGTCTTTGGGTGGTGAACATGATGTAATGTACACGGAATTCAGAATATATTACGATGTACATGAAAAAAAGAAAAAGTGAAATATATATATGGAAAAAAATAAAGATAAGTAAATAAATGTAAAAAAAGTTTTACTAATTCAAATCTCCATCACCTGAGAACAAGAGTCCCTATTACTTTACTGCATCAACAACACTTGGTATTGACAGATTTCTTAATTTTTACAAATCTGGTCATAGAAAATTATATCTCGTTGTGGTTTTACTTTCTGTTTCCCTGATTATTTATGAAATAGAGCATCTCAGCCTTTGCTTATTGGATATGTGTGGCGGAGGTGGTTGGCTGTTCACCAAAATTTCATGACCTCCTTCCCACATGTGAAGTTGTCACTAGGAGCCAGCTGCCACATTTTCTACTAATCTAGGTGTAGGTACATGGCAGCTTCTCCCAAATGGAAGAGAATGCATCTTATTTTCTGGTTAGAATTTTAAAGAAGAGTATGTGTCTTCTCCTCTATCATCTGGAAACAAATACCCTGCTGCCCTGAGAGACAAGTGAACCTGGTCCCTGAATCACCACATAGTGAAATGCTGTCAACCCACTAGAAGACCCACACTGGACCAGTAGAGCAGCCATCACTATCCTTACTGATTCAAAATTTTCTTTTGTGAAATACATGATTATTTCTTTTCTCTGCTTTTTTATTGGGTATTCTCTTTTTATTTATTATATTGTAAGACAGACTTCATATAATCTGGTAATAAATCCTTTGTCAGTTGTATACATTGCAAATGACTTCCATTATTGGAAGCTTATTACTTTTGTTTTTTTAAACTATCTATTAATGTCTTAATCTTAATGTGATTAAAGTTATTAATGCATTATTTTATGATGTGTGTTTTTGATTTTAACATTTTTTCTTGAGAAAGTCACCTTGAAAATGGCAACCATTCTGTTTATAGATAACAAGGAAGGGACGTGACATCAGGAAAAGTGCAGAGGCTGAGGAAGTGTGGACTGAGATTTCTCATCAGAGGGAGCATCTTGAGTTTGTATAAGTGGAAATACCCCAGTGGACTCCCCTCTAGCACAATTTTCTACAGATAACTTACCATTAGGTAGGTCTACTCTATACTCTTGCTCATAGGATATAGTTGTTTAGCAAAGTAACCTACAAGACTGATACAGTACTATAGCGTCAGTGTCAGAGTAAATGTCCTTTAAACTCAGAGATATTAATATCAATTCAACACACACATACATCTTATAATTAACAGCTCGTATGTGCAAGGCATTGTCCATCCAGAGTCCGGGGGAAGTTTTTGACCCTTGGAAAATAGAAACCATTGAGTCTCTAGAGTGAAACTTGTGCCTCTGACCTAAATTGACACTGTGTGATAAAAAGCTGAGATCGATGTTATAAGAATAGAATCATAGAATGTCAGTAGTATATGCTTTTGTAACAACTCAATGGGATCCAGTTTTCATAGCACTTTGAAAATTTCCATCCCCAATAGGGGATGTTCTGGCATTGGATGGTAAATCCTGTACTTTTCAGTGTGCTTTACATCAAATATATCTGAATTTTTAAAAAGAAAAAGAAAGGACTTCCTGTCTCGTGTACATAAATTTAGTGTACTGTATTCTTATGTCAAACTTTAGAACTTTGCCTTCAGTCCTTTAACGTCCTTGAAATACATGGAATTGATTGTTTTTAATGGAGTGCAAAATAGAACTCATTTTAATGTTTCTTCTAATATGAATATGTAATATAAGATAATATATTATATTATATAATATGTAATATAATTACATTTTTAAAGATAATTAATTTTAAAGAGTTTATTTTTTCCCCAGTATTCTGCAATAGATGTCCTTGACCGAAAATCAAAGCATCAATTTTGTAATTTCATCTGTACTCCAAAAAATAGATGCAGATAAATCATAGGTGATCTTTAAGTGGAGTGCGTTAGTAAGAATTTGTTCGAGAGAGTAGAATAAAAGTGCTTGCCTATACAACTGCTACAAGAGCTGGGGAGCAAACGGTCAGGTAAACTGCTCCTGAAGATTAAAAAAGCTAACACCAAAGATTTCAGTCTAAAGAATAAAATAGATAGTTTCAAAAGGCTAATGAGTAGTAGCTGCAAATCTCAAGAATCACTGAAAAAGTCTCCCAATGACTCAATCTGTAGCATTAATGCAGGTGGCTCTTAGGAGCTCAATGGGAAACTACTGTGAATCTCACATTTGCCTATATTTCTGGTTGCAATAACCTTCAGAGAGGAATGGCTTCTTCTCCTCTGCCTGCTAAATCTCTCATGAGTTCCTGTCATGGGAAATCATTAAACATAAACAATACAGAAAAGAAAAATCCGGAAAATGTAATTTCCAGCTTCACAACTACAATGCAGTGGAAGCCTTAGAAGTGGGTGATGACAATGCTAAGTTAACAGCAGACTATCTAGTATGGGGCATAAGGACAAGAAAAGGGGATTGTGTAGGAGGCTGAGAGAGGGCCCACCTGCAAGTCCCAGGAACAAGATGAGGGATGCATGGGACAGAGCCACCCAAGTTGAGCACATTTTAGATCAGCTAACCTGCAGCTGGCCACAGAAGAATGAGTGAGAGGATCCAAGTCCAGAAAAACCACCATTCCAAGCTAGATCAGCCAATCCCCAAGCTGGACTGGCCAAACTTCAACGAACCCTCAGATTCATAAGTAACATAAATGCTTATTGTTGAAGGCTGCTGAGAGTTGTGGTCATTTGTTATCCAGCATTTTTGTCGCAAGAGCTAACTGATACACAGGAGTATGAGAAAGCCCTTATGTCACAAGGGAAAGCCTAACATCAGTAGTATGGGAAAGTATATTCCTGTCCTGGAAGTGAGGAGGAAGGAGTACACCTTTTTTTAAACAATAATCCAGTTCACCACACTTAATACCTGGAATGTTGGAAAAGTACTTCTCAGGAGATGTAATATTTCCCTGCTATTCTTTCTAAATTTATTTAGTTGAAGATTGTTTTCCTCTTCCACTGAAAAAAAAACTTTTAAGGATCCCATAAATTCTTTTCTAAGCCTTAGGTATTAGAAAGGGTAAAGATTACTTTCTATCACAAACACCGTCTCAATTCTGTAGTTAAATTTCCCTCTCCCTCATTAGATCTGGCCTCAGGCAAGCATCTGAGGTCCAGAAAGGAGTCATATGGTATATTATCTTTTTTTCCTTCATTTTTATCAAGTCTAATTGCAGTTGATAAACCCACTTTCTGGGGATGTAGCATGGAAAGAAGAATGATGATGAAGTGACAATAATATGCTTCTTTGGTTGATTACTGTATTACAAAGTTTTGACTTCTGTTGACCTGGATGATAGTTAAAACTGACTCATTCCCTTGTTATTACTTCCAGACCAAGGGATATTCAGAGACTTCCAAGCTGCCTTCCCACACATCCTCTGTGGTATAACTAAGTATATTTCTTCCTGTGAATGCTTCTCCTCATAGCCCCTGGTTTCGTGATGGTACATTTCCTATAGATCTCTTATCCTTTCTTTGAGTTTCCTAGACTTACCAATAGGTCTTCTTGGGAAGAATTGAAAATGGCTTCATACCACTTCTCTCTCACATAACCCACCTGTGGTCCACGGGAAACACTTTTGCTTTTATTGCCCCACCATGAAAAGATGTGAAAGTATTTCCCAAACATAATTTTATTCCACAATTCCAATTCTCTCTCTGTCCTTTCCCATTTCATCTTTCTTGTTGCTCTTGCTCTCGTAAAAGGAAAGGATATATATCAAACTCTCTAAATGATTATTTTGAAGCTTCTCCCACCAAGCTTCAAGAGAGGAGGAAAGTATCCCTCTCTCTTTCGGGAGGATTTGGGATTCACTGTGCAGCTTTCTCAGATGAAACAAAACAAAACATCAGCTTACAAGAACCTCTCATCTCCAGGTCTTAGCACTTTTTTGATCCACGTCTAGGTTAAGAGGCTTAAGAGTTATGAAACTGCTTATTGAGGGTTCCTATAAATATTTTCATTTGGTATTTTACAACTCACTTTGGTATCTGCTGTCTATCAAATCTTGGTACCTCAACTGAAACTTCCAGTTTAACACCTTACACATGCTGCTCCCCCTTCCTGTGATCATCAGGAAAAGATAGAACTTTGTGTGTCTGGATAATGCTGATTTGTTAAGTCTCAGGTAAAGCAATACCTTCTCTGGGAAGCTTTTCATATCCTCTGACACTTGGCTAAGCTAATTATTCCCTCTCAGGACACAGTGTTCCATGTAAACAATTATGGTCCTTGGTTTTATCACTCAGGAATCAGGCAGTCAAGATTTAAATCTTCCTTTCACCAACTGTGATTTTAAGGCATTCTTCAGCTCTTTGAGCCTGAGTTTTCCCAACATATCTTTAGGGTTGTTGTCATGATTAAAGTAGATGATTTAATGCGTGTTAAACTCTTCAACTAGTACCGGAGACAATGGGAGTGACATTTATTTTGTTGCTGAATATCCATACGTGTTTGAGGATAAAGGAAGTGTGGGATGCATTCATGAAGGACAAGAAAGCACTGTGTTAATTATCATATAAGGAGAGTAAAATTTAATATGTCCTCCCTGAAATTTCTAAAAGGGCTCAGGGTTCCTGGATACCTGGGTTCTGGGTGAAGAAGAAACTATATTGTCACCAAAATGGAAAATTCTTTAGAAATGGAGATGTGAAAGGCCAAATGCATTTTACAACAATTTAATATTTGAGGAAGGGCCAACCTTGATGGCTTCCATTTAATGATACCAGCCATTTTGACATAGAATCCTCAAAGTGTTGTACAATCCCCATTATCCAAGAAAAGAGCAAATTAAGTCCTGGAAAGCATATCCCCTTTTACTTCTCCCCCTAACAGGTGCAGGAATAATGTCAACAAAGATTTCTGAGTAACATCTGTGGAAGGAAGACAAGTGAAATATAGTTTCAATAATTTGTATTTACAGAAAAAAGATCATATGAGTATTTTAAAAGAAAAGTAAGTATCAGTTAGGAGAATATATTTTCTTATTCAAGAGTTTCCTCAAGGCCCCTTTCATGTCTTTATTTCTCAGGCTATAAATGAAGGGGTTCAACATGGGAGTGACCACTGTGTACATCAATGAAGCAATTATGTTATTGCCATTGGTGTTGTTTGATGAAGGGAGGAAATATAGACCAATAATTGCCCCATAGTAGAGAGTCACTACAGAGAGATGAGATCCACAAGTGGACAAGGCTTTGCAGATGCACTGGGTAGAGGGAACCCGGAGGATTGTGGCCCCAATATGTCCATAAGAAACCAAGATGCATAAGAATGGAACCATAATGGCAGTTAATCCCGCAGTAAAGATTAGCAATTGGTTGAGGGAAGTGTCTGAGCAGGACAATTTGAGTAGGGCAGCAAGGTCACAGAAGAAGTGAGGCACAGTGTGGTCAGCACAGAAGGACAGCCAGGCCAGGAGGAGGGTGTGCAAAAGAGCACAAGCACAAGCAATGAGCGAGGACCCAGCCACCAGCATGACACAAATGCTCTGACTCATGATGGTGGTATAATGGAGAGGATGACAGATGGCCACATACCTGTCATAAGCCATTGAAGTGATCAGGAAACTGTCCAAATCAGCAAAGAAGATGAAAAAATATGTCTGTGTAATGCATCCTGCATAGGGGATGGATTTGTGCTTAGTGTGCATGTTCATCAGCATCTTAGGGACGGTGACAGATGAGAAGGAGACATCAGTGAAGGCCAAGTGGCTGAGGAAGAAGTACATGGGGGTGTGGAGGTGAGAGTCCAGCCTGATGAGCAGGATGATGAGTAGATTCCCCAGTACTGTGGTCAGGTACATGCCCAGGAACAGGGCAAAGAAAAAGCCCTGCTGCACTGGTGGGATAGGGAGCCCCAGGAGGAGGAACTCAGAGACAGTGCTCTGGTTTTCCCTCCTCATATTGATATATCAGCTGGAGGGCACTGGTGGGGAAAGTTAAAGTGAAAAGGAATGTCTCTGGATAAAAAAATTATCATTGTGGCATAGCATAATAGAGATGTTCTTTTGATTTAGGTAATGTCTTTTCCATATTTTCTTACATTTGATGCATATTTTGCTGGATAAATGTAGAAAAAAATATAGCCACTTTCTTTCTCAATCTGGTCCCAGTCTCTGTAAATGATAATACTAACGGTCAATGTTATTAAACATTGTCCTGATTCGCTGTTCTAATAGCTTACATGTCATAACTGGTTCAACAGTCTTAAGTATATGAACCAGGTAGGTACTGTTATTATTTCCACTTTCCTATGGGATAGCTGAGGCAGACAGTCTCACAGTCACTGAGGTAAGAAGAGGAGAAGCTGGGATTTGGGACCCAAGCATTTTGACTCCACAATTTAGTCTCTGGAATCAAAATAAATTATTTGACAACAGAAATCTCATTGCCTTTTATAATTTTGTGTGTAATGAGCTGTTTAATTCTGTATCCTCTGCTTCTCTACACATACCATGATTATTTCTAATTTGTTCATTGGTTGTGGACCCAGAATCTATCACAGACAATGAATACACACACAATATAAATTTGTCTAACAAATAAAAGATGTCACATCCAATTACATTCATCATGGCAGCCTCTTTAAGAAACTTACATCAGGCTTTGTTCAAGACCCATGTTTAACCTTAATAATCATGGAACTTCATGTTATTTAGTTATCACATGGTATCACATTGAAAGAAGTACAATCTAAAAGCCAAACATAATTTTTAAAAGGAATTCTAAACTTTTGTTTGTCTCTAAAATAACCTGTAAGAGATTTATTTCCTAATCAAAATCAGTATTTATCAAACTATCTTTATATTTTTTAAAAGAGAAGATAAGGATTCACTATAACATAACAAAACTTGTTATAAAGCTATATGGATTACAACGAGTAGTGTGTTTTTTACAAAGATAAACCAATAAAACAGTAGAAGAAAACAGAGAGCCTAGAAACAGACACATTTTTAATGAGGACTTGGCCTCACCATCACTTTGTCAGCTGGATTCAGAAGGCAACCACGTACCAGTCCTGGTCCCTCCAACTCCAACTGAGGGAAAGGAAGAGTGTAATTATGAAACAACTTAATCCAGTAGGTGAAAATTCATGTCAAATGATAAGTTTCAGTGACTACAGTAAAGTAGCCACTGGCTCCCTTAATACCTGGAACCAGATATCAAATCAGAATATTCATCAGTGCTTTACCAATAGGTCTCCAAGAAACAGGTGAAAGATAGTTTGCTACTTAGTCTTAGAAGCAGGAGGCCTTTCTGCCTGATGTCAGCACCTTGGATCCAATCCTGACCCCCATAATCTTCATGGATTGTGGAAAAATGAGTGATGGAGCACTCAATCTTTTTTTCTTGAGATTCTTCAGATTATCTGGCCCAGTTTTTCTTGGGGGTACATGCAGAACTATGGCTATGCAGTGTGATTTCTAGAACAGCATTGAGACTTCCATATGCCTACCCAAAACATTACCCTCAATAGGATCTGGCACCTGAAATTCCTTCAGCAAGAGAAAAAAGGCTTCAAGGTCCCAACTATAGATTAGGTTTAAAAGTAAAAATTCCTAGGAGAGAGAGCCCTCTGGCCAGAAGTCTCACTGAGATGGAACGGTTGGGAGCTGTTCATATTTGGGGACCAGTTTTGGACAGCAGAACAAGGGCACTGACCTCTTCAAACAAACTGAAGAGGGGAGAGGACTGCAGATTACAGGCAGAATTAAAGCAGAGGCTGCAGACACTGAGAACGAACTTACTGTCCTTCTAAAATGACTGCTAAAAGGCTAGAAATGGTCACTGTTCATAAAATCTAATTGAGCACCTAATTTTCAAAGACTGTGCTTTTCGAATATTATTCACTTCTTCCCACAACCTTTCAAGATAGACATCCTTATCCTCATTTTACAGAGGAGAACAAGGGGACTCAGTCATGAAACTTACCCAATGTTATAGCGCCAGTATATGGTGAACCTGGGATTTGATCCCATCTATCTGGTTCCAAAGACTATATTCTCTCCACTATGTTATATGCCTTCGTTAACTATATCCTCAAGTAAGACAGTACTTGCTGCCTGAGAGCACACAAGAATTTCAGGAAGTAAATCAGGAAGTTTGAGGATGAATGAAAATCTGTGGTTTCAGTATATGTGCCTGGATCATATTGTCAAGAATAACGATAACAATAAAATTGTAATAACAATCATTCATTAATCATGTGTTTATTGTGTAATTAATATTGGTTAGTGCGATGACATATACCTTGTATCATATCAGTCTAACAGGGTCAGAAAAAAGACATTATGCTCATTTAACCAGTTGGAAACTAGGGCTTAGAGAGTAGAAGTAATTTGCCCAAAATCGTTCAGCATGGAAATGATAGACACATTATTCAAACCCAGATTTGTCTGATTTCAAACCCATGTTCCTAACCACTATGCTATATTGCCTCTAGGAGATCAGAATTTGGTGAAAAAGTGACATCTGGATATATGTTCTTCATGAAAGTGAAAAAGAGGGAATCTAAGTTCCACAAAGCCTTTGGATGGATGTATTTCCTTAGTTCTTAATCAGATGGTCAGAAGTGAATAGAGAGACTAGGATACCAGCACCTGGGGTTACAAAGACAGCTTCTCATAAGGTGAATTTCTCAGGGCTCTGGGACAAAAGCACATTAGACCCTGGCCAATGTTTTTGATGGGCTACTTAATTTCTGTCAATAGGGGAAAGGTTAAGGCAACTATGGTACATACCCATTGGAAGTAATATTGTGTAGCCAGTGAAAGGAATTCATGAAAACTTATGACATAATTTTGAAGGAACATAGTAGAAAATTATATACAGGCATATTTACAACTATTTGCAAAAACAATGCAGATTATATTATTATTTAACCTGGAATATTTTGCTCACAGCTTGAATGTATGCCAGATATTCAGTAAAACTGTGAAAGACATAACATTTTCCTAGAGAAGAAAGGCAAAACCCCAAGGAATTATAATTTTGTCCATCTACGTTATTTGAGACACTATAATAAATTTATAAAAGTCCTTGCTGCAAGTATAATCATCTGCAATATTTTGTAGCAGACCTTTCACACACACACACATACTCGCACATACAGCACACTTATTGCTGAGGTAAGTCTATAAGCACTACCCTTACCTAGCTCAGGGGTGATAAATTCAAGTACTCTCAGCTCCAGGGTATGAACTAATTTTTCATTAGATCTGGGATGGGGGAAAAAGTCACAGTCTCAACCCTGAAGCGAGGAGGAGATACACTCACTCTTTTTCAGCAGATCCAAGCAACAACAAAGGTATTCATATTTACCAGCCAGGGCTGGGAACCCAGGGGACCAAGGCCACAAATTTCTGGTAAGGGGACAATTTGAGAGTAATGACTGTATTTCCTTTAACCATTCCCAGGGGAGATATGCCTTTGCCAGATACTAAAGATAGTCAACTCCTTTGGGAATACAAATGAGGACTTTATTTGCAGATTCATTTATTTATAAAGAATTTTCACATCTATGAGCTCATTTAACCTTCTAAATAATTGTTGATGTGGATAATATTTTTCACATTTAATTGTTTTTGAGAGTGGCTCAAAAGGAAATGATCAAATGAGGATTCAAATCCAAACATATTAACTTCAGACCTAAAGCTGAATTGCATTGAATCGTGATGTCTCCCTTGTAATAGTGGTCTCTGTATCTTGTGGACTTCTTCCTTCCCACAGTCAATCTGGAACTAGGAGGAGAGTTGCTATTAATTCCTGGGTGATAAAAACACTTATCAAGGAATCAAGGAATAGTCGTGCTTCTGTTTCTCAGAAATAGAGTTTTCTCTTCCTACAGAAACACCTGAGTGCATGCGGGGATATTTTCTTACTGTTAAGACACATAATAATAGTAGGCACATCTTCAAGGCTCAAAATATATTCTGTAAGCATAAGAATGAGTCTGAGAAGCCTTTGAAAACCTGTTCTATTCAGGTTGGCAAATATAGAGAGGAGACAAAGAATCAAGTGAATGGAGACAGCATTTTACTCATTATTTTTTTCAATAATTTATTCATTTATTTAGTCATTCATAAAAAATATTGTGTACCTACTATGTGGCAAGGATTTTGTGAGTACTATAAAGTAAATATTTGAAAATACAGGGTTTTTCCTCTCAAAAGAGCTTACTAACCCTGTGAGCAGGATAGACAAAGACAGTGTGTGTCAAATGCAGTAATGAAAGTGAGTGCTGAGTATTATGAGAGCACAGAGGAAGGGTTATAAAACCCATATATAGGAGGTCAAGCAAAGGTAGGGTTTGTAGGAAATTACATGTCAACAGAGATCCCAGACAATCAAAAAAGTGAAAGGTGACGTGGACAGCATAGAGACAGATGTTTGGAAGAGAGAAAAAGAGAAGAATAGGAAAAGACTTGGAGAAGAGAAAGGATGACAAATTTGGGAAGTTTTTATCAGAAAGAGTAGAACAGCTGAAATATACACTTCAACAAGGGAAGAGATTCAGGATGAGACCAGGGAAATTAGCAAGAATGAATCATGCAGAACCTTGGCAGCCATGTTGAACAATTTTTACTTTATCCAAAAGGAAAGGGAGAGCCATAGAAGGATTTGATCAGAATATTGACAGTGTCATATTAAAAACTATCACTATGGGTGAAGAATGGATAATGAACATATGTTTTCAGTGGGTGGAGGGAATGTTGGCAGGACAGGAATAGAGTGGTGAGATACAAGACCAGAAGGAAGGAGACTAGTTGGGAAGTGGTCACAGTCACTTAGTTAGGAGATTATGGAAGTCTATCTAAGGGAGACAATGGAGTCGCAGAGAACTATGTGGATTTAAGTCTCCTTCAGAGTCAAAATCTAAAGGATGCAGTTATTTTAATGTGAG